TCTCAATTGTTCAGCCCTCTTTTGACATGGTATCAGAGCTAGGGCTTTAAATTCTTACCTGCTGTTTGTTCTGGGCCTTCTCTTCGACGCCTTTTCAGTTCCGGTGTGATTTTTGGTCTTCTTCTACAATTTTCCGATTCCGACGAGTGCTCTCTCTCGTAACTTATTTTTTCCCCGATCTGTAGTCGCCGTCTTCTTGGTTCCAATCACTGTCCTTCGTGCGCTAGTGGTGGTGTTCTTTTTTTTGTGGTTTAACTTGTCTCCGTCGACGGGTTGTGCGGTCGGGAATTCTTCAGCGAATCGTCGTCGGCGTCTCTAGGTTCTCTCTGTTACGCGTTTGATTTGTGGACTACAGTGTAGCCTGTTTACCTTGCGTGGGTTGGGCTTCTCCTTAGTGGGCCTCTTTCTTCAGTTTGTGGACAAGGCTAGTTGGGCTTCCTCAGTGGGCTATTTTTTTTTGGGTTGTGATTTTTTTTTCGAAAATATTTTCGGTCATGTCATCCGACAAATTAGATTCGTTTCTTGTTCGTTTTAATGGCAAAAATTATTCGGCTTGGGAGTTTCAATTCCAATTATTTGTCAAAGGAAAAGAGTTATGGGGTCATCTCGATGGAAGTGCTCCCGCCCCTACAGATACAACGGCCTTGTCGAAGTGGGAAATCAAGGATGCTCGGGTTATGACCTGGATCCTTAGTTCAGTTGAGCCTCAATTCATTCTCAATCTGAGGCCTTACAAAACAGCTGCTGATATGTGGGCTTATCTTAGCAAGGTTTACAAACAGAATAATACTGCTCGGCGTTTCCAATTGGAGTATGAGATGGCTAATTTTGGCCAGGGCAGTCTATCCATTGAAGATTACTTTTCAAGTTTTCAAAATCTTTGGGCTGATTATTCCGATATTGTTTATGCTGATGTTCCCGCTGCAGCTCTATTTGCTGTTCAAACCGTGCATGAGACAAGCAAGAGGGATCAATTTTTGATGAAGCTACGTCCTGATTTTGAGGTTGTACGATCTAATTTGATGAACCGCCATCCTGTACCATCTCTAGATACTTGTTTAGGTGAACTTCTTCGTGAGGAGCAACGTATACTAACACAGTCTGCCATGGAACATCGGGATACTGTTAGTGGTCCTGTTACTGTGGCTTATGCAGCACAAGGGAGGACTAAGGGACGAGACATGCGTGCTGTCCAGTGCCATACATGTAGAGGTTTTGGTCACTTTGCTCGAGATTGTAAGAAACATTGTCATTACTGCAAGAAACCAGGCCATCACATCTCTGTTTGTCCCATTCGCCCTGAGAAGAAGCCTATCGCTGCCTATCATGCCTCCACTGGTGCCTCTAGTTTTGCGACATTGCCTGCTGCCTCACACATTGTTCCTACTCCCTCTTCTACATCCACTCTCACCCCTGACATGGTACAACAGATGATCAATTCTGCCTTCTCTGCTTTTGGACTCTCAGGTAATACATCCTCTTCTGCGCCTTGGTTCTTTGACTCCGGCGCCTCTAACCACATGACCAATACTGCTAGTCCACTTTCCAATGTACGAGCATATGATGGCAATCTCAAAATTCACACAGCTAATGGCAGTTCTCTGCCTATCAGCGCTGTTGGTGATCTTTCCTCTTCTTTAACGAATATTTTTGTGTCTCCTAACCTCTCTACAAATTTAATTTCGGTTGGCCAATTAGTTGATAATAATTATGATGTTCATTTCTCTCGCTCTGGTTGTGATGTGCAGGATCCGGTGTCCGGGATGACGATCGTGAAGGGGCCTAAAGTGGGACGACTCTTTCCCTTGCATCTTTCTCCTTCCCTTACTTCTCCTTTACGTTCCTTTGCATGTAATGCTGTTCGTTCTGATTCTAAATTGTGGCATAAGCGCTTAGGCCACCCAAACTCCGATGTACTTCGTACTTTATTTCATTCTGCCTTATTGGGTAATAAAACTTGTTTTTCTGATCTTTCTTTTGATTGTACTGCGTGCAAAATTGGCAAAAGTAAAGTTTTACCTTTTCCCTCCCATGGATCTCGTGCCTCACAATGTTTCGATATTATTCATAGTGATGTTTGGGGGATTTCGCCTATTATTTCTCACGCACGTTATAAGTACTTTGTCACATTCATTGATGATTTCAGTCGCTTTACGTGGGTTTATTTTTTACGGGCCAAAGCCGATGTCTTTTCAGTCTTTAAGCGTTTCCTTGCCCTTCTTGAGACTCAATTTTCTAGCGGCATCAAAATCTTGCGATCTGATTCTGGGGGGGAATACTTGTCTAATGAGTTTCAGGACTTTCTCCAAAATAAAGGTATCATCTCCCAACGTTCTTGTTCTTCGACGCCGCAGCAAAACGGTGTTGCTGAAAGGAAGAACCGTCACCTTCTCGATATGGTACGAACTCTTTTACTTGAATCATCTGTACCTTCTCGATTTTGGTGTGAAGCACTTTCCACCTCCGTTCATTTAATTAATCGTTTACCCTCTCCTACTTTAAATCATACCTCTCCATTCTTTAGGATGTATGGACATTCACCGTCATACTCCGATCTGCGTACATTTGGTTGTGTTTGTTTTGTGCATCTTCCTGCTCATGAGTGCCATAAACTTACTGCCCAATCTGTTCAGTGTGCTTTCCTTGGCTACGCTGTCTCTCAAAAGGGTTATGTTTGTTATGATCCTCGTGCTCAACGCATTCGTATATCTAGGAATGTGGTTTTCCTTGAAAACCAATATTTTTTTGTCTCATGTTGAGCCGCCATCTACGTCTTTGTCTGTCTTGCCTACCTTCTCTGATTTCCCAACTACTGTGGCACGCTTTAAACCAGGACTTGTCTACGAACGACGTAATCGTGAGTCTGGTCCCGCCTCTTATGTGCCTCCTCCCGATCTCGCCCCGCCACCTGATCCTCCTGCGGTTCACACCTGTCTTCGTCGGTCTATACGTCCTTCTCGACCACCTGATCGGTATGGTTTCTCATCTCCTGTCTCTCTTGTGGCTACTTTATCTGCTATTTCCATCCCTTCTTCTTATAAACAGGCCATGGAACATGAGTGTTGGCAAAATGCAATGAAAGCAGAACTTCAGGCACTTGAGGAGAATCATACTTGGGATGTTGTGCCTTGTCCTCCTACAGTAAAACCTATTGGGAGTAAATGGGTTTTCTCTGTGAAACTTCGTTCTGACGGCTCCTTGGATAGGTACAAAGCTTGTCTTGTAGCTCTGGGTAACAGACAGGAATACGGCGTTGACTATGATGAGACATTTGCTCCTGTCGCCAAGATGACCACAGTGCGGATAGTCTTAGCTATTGCTGCCTCCCAATCTTGGAAACTCCATCAGTTGGATGTGAAGAACGCCTTTCTTCATGGCGACCTTCACGAAGAAATTTATATGAAGCTTCCCTCTGGTATGACTAATTCTTCTCCTTCCGATGTTTGTCGACTACGACGTTCCCTGTACGGGCTCAAGCAGGCTCCCCGGGCTTGGTTTGAGAAGTTTCGCAACACACTCATTACCTTTGGTTTTACACAAAGTCAGTATGATTTTTCTCTCTTCCTCCACAACTCTACCTTGGGTATTGTACTTCTGTTGGTTTACGTGGATGACATCATCATTACTGGCACGGACTGCGGTTTCATTTCTAAGCTTCAACAGTTATTGCATACCACTTTTCACATGAAAGATCTTGGCCAGCTCACATACTTCTTGGGCCTAGAAGTTCATCATCGGGATCAAGGCCTTTTCTTAAACCAGCATAAATATGTTCAAGATCTTATTGCATTGGCGGGTTTGGAGGATTCTTCTTCTGTCGATACCCCTATGGAAGTCAATGTAAAGTACAGGAAGGATGAGGGGGATATTCTAGAAGACCCTACTCTGTATCGTCGTCTGGTTGGGAGTCTTATCTATTTGACCACCACTCGCCCAGATATCTCTTATGCCGTCCATCAGGTTAGCCAGTTTATGTCTTCACCTCGGCATCTTCATCTTGCGGCTGTTCGCCGTATTGTTCGCTATCTTCATGGATCTTCTACTCGTGGGTTGTTCTTTCCTAAAGGGTCTTCCCTTCAGCTCTTAGCCTACAGTGATGCTGACTGGGCTGGGTGCCCGGATACATGACGTTCTACTACGGGTTGGTGTATGTTTTTAGGTGATGCATTGATCTCCTGGAAATGTAAGAAACAAGATCGTGTTTCTAAATCATCTACTGAGGCTGAGTATCGTGCCATGTCTACCGCTTGTTCCGAGATTATTTGGTTACGTTGTCTTCTGGAGGAGCTTGGATTTCCTCAAACTCGTCCTACTCCTCTCCATGCGGATAACACTAGTGCTATTCAGATTGCAGGCAATCCCGTCTTTCACGAACGCACCAAACACATTGAGGTTGATTGTCACTTTATTCGTGACACTTTGATAGATCAAGTGATATCTATTCCCTACATTTCTTCTGATCTTCAAGTGGCCGATATTTTCACGAAAGCGATGACTCGACTGCGACATCAATTCCTTGTTGGCAAATTGCTG